AAAGAAAAAATTAAGGAACATGGTTAGCTTGGATAACTCTACAGAGATGATCGTAGCCTTGACCGTAAAGTTAGAAGTTTAGAGGATCGAACGATGTTTATTTAAATCGGGTCATAAGATTGTAACTCGCCTTGGAACTTGCACAAACGACTTGTTGTGTCACGATTAATATGCATCGCGTGCAAGGACAGGCGAGACGTGGTGCAAATTCCTATTTATAGCTCGCGTTATAGGTTAAAGCTTTACAATTAGGGGTGGTTAGCAGCGCCTCCACTGTTCGAAGGCGGTAACACACAGGCGCCCTCTCGCAGCAATTTCAACTATAATCGGTTCATCGAACGTTCGAGTTCGAGAACCGGATCGGAGCGAGGCTCCCCGATTAACATCAGACTTTTACCCATTTTTTTAATGGGTAAACGAGCTTTCTCCATTTACGTGATCCATCCACATCCTTCATTTTGCATAGTTTCTCGTTTCGTCGAGTGCCTACGGGTTAAGTCGTTGGCATGCAGTCGGTGGAGGAGGCGCTTTCCTCTCGTGGAATCTATTAAAGGTTCGTCGTACCTCGCCCTCTCTGTTCCGAAATTTGAAAGAATTCCGCGAGCGCGTGTCGCTATTCGTACACGACCTTCGTGTTTTTTCTTTTTTTTTTTTTTTTTTCCAGATCTTTTCCTTTCGACCAGGAAAAATTGTTCCAGTCATTTGCGTGTATATTTAGTTAGTTTTTGTTATTGAAAAAAGTATACTCTCGTTTCGAAACATTTTTCAATGTCATCGATTTATTTTATCAATTTATTAACATCACTTTAAAGAGATAAAATCGATCTCTCAAAATTGCGTTGTTTTTTTAAAATAGTAACTTTCCATATAAAAGATACTTTCATTTTTAATCTTCTACTTACTTATCTTGTTTGTAAAAATCAAAACGTGAGAAATTAGCGAAACCTAATCAATTTTTCATTTCATCCCCTCAAAGGGATATCTTCTCGATCAATTGAAGAATTCATCTCTCGAATTCTCGTTCATCCAGCTAGCTAAACATTTAGGTTATGTTTCATCTCGATTATCAAACTTTTCCTTTTTCTTTTTTTTTTTTTTTATCGAGCATAATTACCCTCATGCAACGAGATACAAAATTTCAAACGACAAATTATCAGATCCCTCGACAAATTTCACCGGGAAAAATCATTGAACGAAAGTTAAGCATCGTTCGTATGTATATATATATATATAAACGTGGATACAGTGGTCGAGACAGCTGCATGTTGCATTGCATAATTTACGATCCAGTGGCTTGGCAAAAACCATCCTAGCATCACCACGCATATAAATTATGGATATCTAGTTGTGCAATAATCGGCTTGAAGCGTTCTTTTTCCTCCTCCTCCCCCCCCTCCTTTTTTCTTATTTATCTTTTGTCAAGATTATCGACGTGCAATGGCCGTCGATGTGACACGATTCGACTCGATTTCATCAGAGCAAAAAAAATATTTCCCGCTTTCTGCGGAGCGTTTTCGCGATTTGTTTCTCCGAGAAATTGTTTTCCCCGGCAAAATTCACGTGGAATGTCGTAACAGATCGAGAAACATGTTCGAAAGAAGCGGTGTGAGACCGCAATTTTCTTCTCGAAAAGAAAGTGTTATACATCTCGAGGCCACGTGCATGCTGATCGATCATCGAATCGAGGCAGGATAATAAAATTGGATGGACACGATGAAATATGTTAAAATTGATTAAAAAGGATGTGATCCGTTATCAGATATATGCTCCACTTGACGTTGGATGTTTCGAAAGGGAAGAAAGTTGAAGCACGAGAGATGCTGGATTAAATACGTGATTAAAAATGTATAAATGGAGTATTTTTTTTTTTTTTTTCTTTAAGTCTTTCGAAAGTTATATGGTTATATAAGTAATCTTCTTTTAAGAAATGTAGAAAAATAAGGAGAGAAAATATATTATTTTATAGATTATCGAACATTATTCAAACGAAAGATAAATTATTTCAACATTATTTGTTATTTTATTCAACACTTAATTTCGTTGCAAAAGTATAAAGATACTTTTTTATTCACATCCTGTAATTATAATATATTATTAAACGAAATAACGTTTTATTTTTTCAGAAACAGGTTAATCAAAAAAGAATTTTAAAATTTATTTGCAAACACCTTTCAAATTTATTGTTTATTTTATTCGCAGTAATTATTCGTCCTTCTCGCTTATTAATTTCATTTCCTGTATATTTCAATTATAATCAAGATTGCGGGAATAATTCGAAATAGCTTAAGATTATTATTAAAACAAAAATATTCCCTTTACGCAAATATTATTTACGCTCGAGATAGATTTTATTTTCACTTACATCTACTTTCCTAGTTACAATTGTATTCAACGATATCGCCCCTATTGATAAACACAGATCTGATCTTCGTCGCTCGTTCAATCGTCTAATCGAACGAGGAAAAAGTTCTCGTTACGTAACCCGTATTAGAAACGTAGCATGTTAAACTGGCCGAGCCAGTGAATCTTAACACGTAATTACGTAGCGAACAAGTGGCAGACCTATTCGTCCTTATTCATCGAAGTGAATGTAGCTTATTGCGCAAATTCCGGTCGGATTCGAAGAACGTCGTAATATATATATATTAGATTTTCCAACATCGATATATCGTTGCAATCCATTAATTAATTGACAACTCGCCGGCCGAGTTGAACAGGTTCTTCTCTGAACTTTACGATTATTATTACATGATGATTTGACCACGAAATGTGGTAGCGCAAAAAAAGAGGGGGAGAAACTCGTCGAACGAGCGTGAAGAGAGAGGGGGAGGGGGGAGAGTTGGGGAAAAAAGTGGTCGTAAAGAAGATAAGAATTGCTTCTTGTGGCGAACTTTTTTACGAGTTCAACTGTCCCCCCACCTGTCTTTAATTGCAGGAGAGACATTTGCAAAAGCCCCGCGCTTACGTAAACTCGCCGGATGTTTTTTTTCTTTTCTTTTTCTTCTTTTTCTCTCCCCTCGATTTCAAATACGCGCACAACAAAACTTTAATTTCTGATTCTTAATTTAATACGTGAGTTACGAGCCGCTTATCGCGTGTTTTCTTTTTTTCCACGCGATCCTTTAATTAAACGATATTATTAAAAGTGTTCTCTTCGTTTTAAAGGTTTCTTCAGAAGTTTCGCGATTTGTTTCGAACGGGATCGAAACCGCTTCTGCATTTTCTATTATTTATTCCGAAACGGGTTTGAGATCGGCTTGCTTGTTATTTTTTTTTTTTTTTTCATTTTTCGATTTATATTTTATTATATACATTATTATAATCAATATCTAGGTACTAGAAATATTGTATCAATATTTTTTTTTAAATCACTTGCAAAATATTTGCATCGATATTTTTTATTTTTATACATTTGTAAAGTGTTCAGGATGGCTCTTGATGGTTATTTATAAAAAACTTCAGTGTTGGTTAAACTGATAAATTTTCCAAAAGAATTCCGAGAAGAAACAGGTTGTTGAAAAAAGGTTAAAGTAAAAACCGAATGTCCTAATATCGATGAAAAAGACTGTGTATTTGTCAAATACAATAATAATAATCACCAGAAGACACGAATGCAAATAAACGAAAAGAACTTTCGAAAAAAAGTATAACGTTAAAAGTTTCTCCCGAAGTTTGTTTTAATTATAACAGCAATCCAGATTCAGATAGATTTCCTTGTAATAAAGTTAATTCGTGGAGAATGAATTTTATTGTTTCAAAATGTAAAAAAAAAAAAAAGGGAAGAAAGAGAGAGAAATGGAAAATAACGAGATTAATCTCCACTTTCTCGAACTTGCTTCGTAATAAAATTTTAAGGAAAACGGTTGATAGTCGAATTCTTGGAATTCGAGTCGAGTTCTCGGCGATTCTGAAAGCTGACATTCTTTAATAAAAGAAAAAAAAAAAAAAAAAAAACGAAGTAAAAAAAATGTTTATCTTTCACCGTATAAGAGTTTCAACGCATAAAATTTTTTAATCGAAATTTTGCAAAGAGAGGGAAAGGAGTAAAAGGAGGTTGAATTCCTTTCGAAATCGCGTTCTCGATCAATCCATCTTGATTAAGAATCAAAAAGGGGAAGAATAATTCATCCATGCTGCATTAATCAAATGCGGAAGCGGGGACACGAAAGATTTACCGATTTATGGTACGATACTGGAATCGGGAGCGAATCGAAGAGAAATCATTTTGCATTACTTACGAAAGGACGTAGAACTTGGGATCGCGCCAAAGGGTGTAATTGTTCGAAGGCACTGGTCTCACTGCGACGATGTGAATCTTCGGCCCGTACGATCGATAAGTTAGGTTACCTTCCCGCTCGACGCGATCCGCGTTCGCTCTCAGCATCGAGGTCAGGGATGCTTGGTCGCACGTAGCCGGCAGACAAAGACCCAAAAATACTTGTCGTGTCTGAAAACAAATTGGTTTTTCCGGGTTTCGACGTGTGCGGCCTCAAGCTGGGGACCAGCGTGTCGCCCAGGGGAAAATTGGTGAGAGAGAGAGAGAGAAAAAAAAGGAAGTAGAGGGCGTGTCTTAATTAAATTTGAGAGGTTAGATTGTCGGATGTATAAATAGATTGCAAGGGGATTCAATTTCAAGATTAATTAAACTTTTATTCCCTTCCTTTCTGTCAGGGTTTTACCTTGTGCCGCGATTTTCAAACCGTTAAAGAGTTCAACGAGCTTTTAAAATTCAATTTCTTTCAAGGTTCCCTTCTCCCCCCCCCCCTCCTGGCTACTTCTTTTCATCGTATTGGCCTGTTTCTGCTACTTTCCTTTGCGCCACCATTTTCCCACCCACACCGCCAACAGTAGAAAAGCTTCAACGGTTCGAAACTCGTCGCCTGATGCAATAACGAAACTCAAGTAAACTAAATATAAAAATACGCGAGATAGCAAACTTTTTATTACTCTTCTTTTTTTTCTTTCTTTCTTTCTTTTTTCTTCTTTTTTTCTCTTTTTTTCTCTCCTCTCTTTAAAGTAATCCTCAAGAAGAACTCGATATGTCGTTCAATTGATCGAAGAGGGAACTTGAAAAATTGGAATTGCGTTTAATTAATCTTGTTGAATGACAGGCTTATTGAGATTATTATTCGTCGTCCAATTTCAATTTTAATTATAGAATCAAAAAAAAAAATCCGCTGATATTGATGAAACAAGAAAGAAAATGAGAGGCAATGAGATGCAAAAGTAAAATATAAAACAATCCTTGAGCTAAGTAAGTTTTTTTTTTTTTCTCGTTTCATTTTCAAAATTTCGCCGATCGCAGGATTTATAAGAGAATTGTGAAACGCTAACAAAATTTGTTGCAAGAAAATTTTAACGAATTTTTGCCAACTTCTCGATTTTTCGCAGATTTTTCCGCTCAACCATGCCTCCATTGCGTGTGACCCACTGTCTCGATTAGCTTCGTTCACGAGCAGTGATACAGAAAGTAACAAAGTGAAATTACTGCGGTAGAACGGGACTTGTTTTCGTATATAAAACGCGTATAATCTGATTAAACGAGCTCTTCTTCTAGAAAGAAAATTGGCCCAAAGTTTCGAAAGCATTGAGAGCGCAATCAAAATCATCGAGAGTTTCGATGGCAAGCAAATTTCATTCCACGGTGTTGACATTTTGGATATTTTCTCGTGGAAGAATTTAAGTAATTGCGATAAGTCTTCCGTTGTATTTTTGGCGAATTAAAGATTTAAGGTATAAGAAATAATGAACGAAAATTTGCGTAAATTGTGTTATAGGATAAATTAAATTTTGTTTTTTTTTTTTTACGAAACTCGCAAGATAGAGTGAAATTTTAAATATTATATTTTAATATTACCTATATTTTTGGAAGCGAAATTTTATTAAAAAGATGAAAAAGTGATGATGACGATGAATTTTAGGGTAGATTTTTCTTTATGGAAAGAAAGAAAAAAATTATTGTATATAACGCATAAACTTTAATTAAAATCAGGATTTTCTGGATGAATTTATTTAAAAATTAATTTTAAGACACGAGGATGAATTTTTCACATTTTTTTTTTTTGTAAATTCACTTTAATTAATCAGTATTGATTAAATTAATCGAATAAATAATTCTTCCAAGTCTCGTTGGAAATCCTTATTTGATAAACTGCGTTTAATTAACCCATCTAATAATTTATTCACGCTATTTCGCTTCCAAAGGCTAATTAAAACCTGGATTAATTAAAAAAGAATTTAATTATTTATACCAGGCAAATATATCTTATGTATTGTTGTTTTTTAATGAACAGAATAAAAAAAAAATAAATAAATAAACTCTGCATAACGAGAAATGCAGAAAATAGTTTTCGTGACATTAAGCTTTAATAGATTTTTCCATTCAACAATGAATAGAATGTCCTGATAATAAGTCTTAAAAAAGGAATCGACGATCAAAATTTGTTCTTTGGAAAAACATATTTCTTCAACGTGACGTGCAAATACGCTACTCTCATATAAATTGTTGACTTAAAAAATAAAAACCTATTACTTAATTTATGCTTCCAAATAATAAACTTGAATCCCCACGATTTCGATAAAGTTCCATCCAAGACAGACAAGTTAAATTATTTGGACGAAAATAACGGGAGGAGGATACTTACAGACAGTTCGAGCTCCTTGGGCAGAGTCAAGTACATCCTAGCCACGTGAAATTTCAACGGATAAGGCGGCGTGTCGTCGAGCTCCCGATCAACTCTGTTATCGGTGGCGTTCAGCTCCTTGCAGAGGGTGCTCGAGCCGAGCCAGAACCCGTTCCCAAAATGGAATTGCGACGAGTAACGGCCACTCGCGTCGAACACTGGGAAAAGCAGAATTTTTTTCCACTAAGAAATCCAGTTGTCATCCAATAAACTCGTAAGTAATATTTCTCTCTGTTTCTTTAAAGAAAATTTACACAAGACTTGGCGCATTCCAACTTTCAACAGGATTAAATTACGTGATCGTGCTTGGAAGGTTCATTGTCAATTACGTAAAGCCAGCTATGTGGTAGCAGAGAAAGTGGCGGCTATCTGCGAGACAACGAGCCACCGGTGAAAACGCAATTTCGTACGAATCTTGAACTATTGGTTCGATTAATTTTTCAACTAACTATTCCTGTGACAACAAGAATACAAATACGAAATATATTAGAGCATAGTACGGACAGAGAAAGTTCTCTATTCTCACAGATAGTACAAGAATATTTATTTACCTTAGGTATAGAGACGCACCTTTTTATTTATTTCATTGCATTCACAGTTTAGGAATATTTATCAACGGAATATATATTTTCTAATCGCGCAAATAATTCGATATTAATATCTCATAATGTTATAATAGCATGGCTGATGTTTCGATGGATATCGCACGTTTAAAATTTAGAAAGAAAGAAACTAAAGAGGAGCGTCAATGCGAAGGAAGAATTAGAAACAATGGAGGCAAGGAAGAATTACGCGTTGCAAGCCGAGTTTATCGACGCGAGAAAAACGATCGGCGTATTGCAGCACACTTTCGAAACGGTTCGGATCAATGTACCAGGCAAAGTACTCTGCTAAGATCACGTAACACAACTTGCGCATCTGATACTTCTTTGTGGGCGAATCTGTCGAAGAAGCAATTTTCAAAGGAAATTGACGTTTCTCAATTCAGCGTCTTCGGTGTTGCTGGTGTATTTTCTCCTCTTATTTTTTTGTTGCATAATTTTTAAACACTTTTCTGTTGCTTCGAGGACGAGGGAGGAGAAAGTAAAATTCGTATTTGATTATATTTAATTACTATTGAAAGATCTTCCTTGCCTCCATTGTTTCTAATTCTTCCTTCGCATTGACGCTCCTCTTTAGTTTCTTTCCTTCTAAATTTTAAACATGCGATATCCGTCGTAATATCATAACCGTACTATTATAATATTATGAGATATTAATATCGAATTATTTGCGTTTTGCGCGATTAGAAAATATATATTCCATTGATAAATATTCCTAAACTTGCAACGAAATAAGAAGATAAGAAGAAGTAAACAAAATTGGAAAATTTCTTTTCTCTGAATTAAAATTCGATCGATCTTAAATTTGTGATAAATGTCAAATATGAAAGGCAACCTTTATTAGAACTCACGAATAGCAAAAAAATTTTTTTCTTCCATGTTTCGTTCCGCTCTAGTTGGCCCTGCAACAACCGTTCCTCATATTTTAATTTCAATTTTCAAGCAAAACATCGCGCGTTTCGTAAAACCAGCAGGCAGGATATATATTTCACGAAGTTCTCTTTAATATCAGCTGTTATTTTTCGAGTAATAAAAATCATTTTATATACCGCTCTGACTACCACTACTACAAGTGGAAACTCGATTTGATCAACCTGGATCAAGCAAAAGCCATTTTGGAATATTAAGTTAAAAGAATTTGGTAGCTGTTTACTTCATCCAATCGAGTTAACAGACTTTCAATCGTCGTATCTATTTAATAATTCGATCGAAGCTTCGTTATCGGTTGAGGCAATTTTTGTTAATTATCGATCGAGTCTCGAAGCGCACGAAATTATTCAGAGTCGGGTTTCTGATTAATCGAATTCGATCGAAGAAAGAGAGAAAAAATTGACGAAACTGCATTTACGTTAGGCAACTCTCGATTGGCCAACCAAGTTGATAAAATAACAATCACATGTGAGCTGCTCGTGTAAACTAAATTATAAAATGTATAATTTGAAACTGATCGGTTGGTCATCCATTAAATGTTGCCTAATGTAAAACGTGATTGGACGATCAGAAGTTATTTAAACTTGGTCGACGAGCATTTAAAGTTAATTAACTCGGTTAGTCAAGCAAAAGTTGCCTAATGCGAGTTGCGTTGAGTAATTTCGAATAATTGAATTATATTCTACGCGATATAATTTTCCCGAATGTGTCTTCACTTTTTATATTCTTCCTCTTCCTCCCTTCTTGAAGTGTTAAAAATTCAACTCTTAAACTTCTTAAAAAGGATTAGATAAAAACAAAACATTCGACACCGAAATTAAAGAATGATTAAATACGAATTTTCTTCATTTCCAAAATTGCAACGATGTTAACTTGTTACATCGTGTTAGTTAGAGCAAATTCATCGTTACTTTCGCATGAATATCTATCCCCTTTGTAATACTTGATTTAAAATAAGTTCTTGAAATCGGTCACAGGTTCGAGATGAAGCCATGCTTCAGCTTCCTTCTTCAGAATTCGCTACGAGAAGGGGTTAAATCGTTCCTAGGGCTAATTGAAAATACTGCTCGAACAGACGCGTTTTCTCTGCCCTCCCAGAGAGAATCGGGGAGGTGGATGCTCTTCCGATCAGTCAAAGGGCATTTACGCGGTGGCACAGAGATGGACCGTAGGCAGATTGCGGTTTCGCGACGATCGAATATCGATTTTCGCGATTCGGTCAAAGTGACCGACGGTCGGTAACACCGGAAGCAATCGCGAATCCGGAAAATCGTAGGATTCTATTTGAGGTAACCGCAGATCGATTCGTCGATTTCCCTCTCTTTTCCGCTCGATAATGATCGAAAATGATTTGTTTGAACTTTTTCACGAAAATACTGGTACTCTTGACACGATTTCATCGATCGACGAAGAACAAGTTGAAATAATTGTTCGAATATAACTTGATTGTTTTTTCATATATTCGCGAGACACGTTTGGAATAACGTCGATGTTAGAGATCGAAGCAAATATTAATCCTGGTGTACAGAAATTTCGAGGTTTATTTATCAAGTATTTATTCAAGACCGTGACACGGATAGAATGAAACGAGTGGTGTGTCAGTTCATTTCCGTCTCTTCGTTTCATTCTGACGTAAATTTTAATGGCTTATAACTTAATGAGCCTCGACAGATGTTTTTGTTTGCTTTGGCCTTTAGAATGAATCTTCCAAAGATGTTCTATGAATATATTAGCATAAGATACACACCTACGAGGAGAAGTCATGAATTACTAAACGTATTCCTTAGAATTTAAAAACTTGAGATTAGAGTGCTTTGTCAGGGAGAGAGAAAGATTTTCACGTTTCAAAATTTGTTAAAATCACCATTTCGTTTTGTATTCATTTCGTCTCAGAGCATGGAATAATTCATGGAAGAAAAAAATTTTTTAAATTTGACAAACATTCCCATTGTATCCTTTTATATCCATTAATTCGAACGCTTTTAACTCAACCTAAATTCAGAAATCGTGTATTCTACCCGATAAGGAACCTTGATGGACAAGATAAATGGTCATTGCGAAACGAAGTATTCGCAATTCACCTAGTTAGTTCCCCGCCCTGTAAATCAAACTATATATATATATATATTATATAAAATGTTAGATGTATCACGGTATAGAAAGTAAATCTGTAATGTGTTTTATAGCGTTAACGTGGCCACCGTTGAATGCCATTTAATCCACTGAAACTTTCGATTCGATCGTGGGTCAGAGTCGGTGGAAAGGAATTATTCGAATTTTCGTCTCGAAGAAACCGATTTCTCAAATCGATTTCTTCTCGCTTTGCTTAATCTCGGTGATGAGGAAAGTTAATAACTGTTGATTAATTTTATTAGACACGTGTTAAGCCATTTAATAATCCGATAAATAACGTGATATTCGTGATAATTTGATCTTGCATAAAAATCCAGCGGTAACTTTATTAAAATCCCCCTATAAAGCGGGATTTAAATTTTTAGCCAAAGTAATTGGAATGACTTAATAATCGAAGTCGTTGATTCGAGTGAGAGCTTTATCCTGTGGAAGGGACGAAAGTTGGAAAGTTCGTTTTCACCATTTCTGGAATGAAAAAGGGAACACCGGCAAAGGATTGTCGCATTACGACGAGGCGGTAAATTGCTGTTTTCGCCAAGTAATAACACTTTTGACAATCGAGTTTCGTCAACCACGCGATCACTCGTAGCGATGGGATCGAGCGTATCGCGAGTGTTTAGACTTGAACGTGGCGGATCAAATTTGACGATCGAGTTTCGTCAACCACGCGATCGCTCGTAGCGATGGGATCGAGCGTATCGTGATTTGATCAAATTTGAAAAGTGTCTCGAAAACGTGGATCTATTTCCACAGATCCATTTTATTAGCTCACGTATCCCAACAACGAGTGAAAATTTAATAACGCGTATCCTTAAATCGTGATTCGTTCGATTCCTGGCAAACCTCTTGATCTAAATTTACAAGTTCGCGCGAGGCTTAAACCCGTCGCTAGACAACCCGTGACTTTCTCTACATTCCCGCTTCGGCTTGGCGACGACCCGCGACAAATTTCCGAAAGAAGGAAGAGAAAAAACAATAATGAAAACAACACAAATGACCACGCACTATTACGACCAACAAAACACAATCTTCTTCTCTTTTTACTCACTCTTGGCGGCCCACAGCTTTCCATCACGGAGCGACTCGAGGAAGAATTCCAACTCTTTCCTGCAATCCTTGCCGAGTTTTCCAGGCACCCTGGACCACTTGAGGGGATCGTAAAGATCCGCCAGCCATTGGATACTGTTCGCCGTCGTTCCAACCCTCTCCTCCCCCATGAAATCGATATCGAGATCGCGTCCCTCGTCCCCGTCCATCAGCCTCAAATAGTTCCTCCAATCGAGCTCCGGATTGTTTTTGCCGAATCCAATTACCGGGCCCTGCCTCTCCCCTGCCTTGTAATCGGTCCCGTTCAAGCCCCCGTCCCCCCCCGCGTCCCGTGATTTCCCGATCCGAAGGATGTTCGACTCGTTTCGAGGAACCGGGCTCGTGCGCGCGATCGACGCAAGGATCAGCAAAAAGTAATACACGCCCATCTTGGCCCTGTGCTCGAACGAAACGATTCAGGAATGTACAACAACTCTGTCTCTCCTCGAACTTGCAACTCATTGATTTCCTCCCCCTTCGTGAAATTTTTCGGTTGGAAGCCGCGGCCGATTTATCACGAATGGATTCGTCGACTTCACTTTCGTTTCTCACCGGCCAACACACTCTTCGTTGGTTATATATATATATATAAAACTGTTTTTTGTTGACACGCACACAGAGAGTGGATCGGGGGGCAGTTTAGGGGGAGAAAAATGGAGGAGAATTGCGAGAATGTTTGGAGGAGACGCGAGCACGCACGGGGCCAAAGGATCATGCACTGAACGAAGCGAATCGAGTCAGCAGTCACGTTTACCTCGTGGTTCCCCTTTCTCTCGACGATATACTTTGCCTGCTGGGTTTCCTCCTCCCCCACCCTCCGACAACACCTCTCGTCACCTTTCAGAGACACTTTCCATTAATCCCCGATGATGCTTGCGCCTTGACATCTTGCGCAATGTTTCCACAAATTTTCCTTCTCGCGAATATGAATCGGGGAGGAGAGGTGTTTTCGATTTTCGTACTGTAATGGTAAATTTGTTAAGGCTTTTTTCATGTTTCAAAAATTGTAGTGACTTTGAAAGGAGATTCGTCCAAGATGGATCGAACGGCATAGTTCCTTTGCACTTTATATCGCGATAAATATATTTTCCTCCTCCTGTCGTCACCCACCAGAGGGATTTTCCCATAAATTCTCTCTATATTCAGGAAATCCGTTTTTTCTTCCACTTTTTTCTTGATCTTTCCTTTTGTTTGACTTTATGATTCTTTGATCAAAACTTGGAAATTTTTCAAATAAAAAAAAACCACTTCTGAGAAAGGATATAAAATTTCTATTTTTTTTATTTTTAAATCGCATGTGACAATTGAAATAAATTCGAACGATTTAATCGCCGTGCCTCATCTCACGATTCTCGAGCGTGTGACGTGTGAAGTGCTTTTCTTGCGGCAAGCCAAAACGTTTCAGTTCAGATCTTGGCATGGAAATTTTGTTGCACCATAATTCCTTAGACCGTGCCCGCGAATTGTTTTTCGTTGGTTAACAGTGTTTGTAGAAAGCGATGGATATTACGCTCGATTACTCGAGCTTATACTACAGCTCCAGAACGAGGTCTCGTTAGCTACCAGTTATCGACCGAGCCGATGGTTATCATCCGATTTTATTTTTCCTCGTTGCCATTCTTCACCCTTCTTATTATCATTCTTTCAAGGATTATCATTTATCCCTTTTAATTTAATTTCCACGCTGTAATTTATGTACTGTAGTCTCCCCACTAAATTTTCAGATTTTCACGCGAATGAAACGCCTATTTTTTGTTACCATTTCTTTTATATATATATATATATGTTATTTTTCAATATTTTCAATTAATAACGCCATACACGTAAACGAGAGAAATATCGTTGCAAATAACAATTTTTAAATGTTGGTTAAACTGTGTGTAATAAATATACGATGAATAAGCGAGTAATAATTCGTAACGAGGGAAATTTAAACGTGTATTTCAAGTACGTTCTATACTTATTTCTCAAACTTTTTTGTCGTAACAAATGAGAAGGAGGAATTTTAACGAGAAGGTAGAGAGAAGTAGAAATAGTACTCCCTCGCCTGGTGAAAAACAAAAAGGAAACACGGCTCTTTAAAAATCCATGCATCGAGCGTATGACGTCACGTGGAAATGAGCATTTCAATCTTGAAAAGAGGGAAACTTTCCAATTGGTTACGATTTTTCTTTCATTTTTTCGCGAGTAGAATATTCGCCGAGTGGTGGTATTTTGTAGGTCGTGTTCCAGGTCCGAATAAACGGCCGTTGACACAAATTTTCCACGAGAAGGAAAGAAAAGAAAAAAAGAAGAGAAAAGCCTGGCGAACGCTTGAACCGAGATTAAAAAAAACGTATGATACGATTGTGCGCGATGTTTTCGGATCGATTCGGAACGAGCACGAAAGTTGGTAAATAAATATCGCCTGTTGTGTCGTGTATCGAGTTACGAAGGAATCGAAGTTTATGGATTGGACGATGAGGCGAGATGGAGCGATTTACTTATTGCGGTATTAATTTTGAGAATAGTACACGTTTTCGTGAATCGATCTAATAAAAATTTTTTATGATTTCTTATCTTTTACGATGATCTTCACGTTGTTTCCTCGATTCGAATTTTTGAATATTTTTTTTTTGTCCAGTGGAACCTTCCTACTTTCCTTCCAATTTTTACGAGAGAAACTCTTGTTGATAAAATCTTGTTCTCGCGTCGAAATAAGATTTAAAAAATGAAATTCTGAAGAAACTTCCACTCAATTTGCGATTGCTTTTTCATCCCCTTTGAAGTGTCACATTTTTCAAGGAATAACTTTCGTTGTCAGCTACGAAGAAAATATTTGTTTCATCTTTCTAAATCTATCCTTCTTTTTTTTCTTCTTTTAGCAACGTTTTAATATTTTCACGAAATTCCATTAAAACAATTGTGATTACAATATCTTGAAATTGATCGTTCGCATATCATATACGTTTCCGACACATTTTGAACAGCATTTTCATCAATTGAACCGTTTCGATGACGAAACTATTTCTAAATAACTGAAACTAGTTTCCGACAAAACTATTTCAATAACCGTGGCCAAAACTTTTTAAATATCCGATATAACAATTTTCGATCGTTCATTCATTAACATTCCATATTTTCACTCATATTCGAGTTTTACATAACTTTTCGATCGCCACGTCCTTCGAAGCCTCGACAATTTCTCCGCTTGCTTTTTCTTCCCATTTACCACTCTTCTCTCATTTGTTTTCCTCGAGTTTCGGCCTCGCCTCCAGAACGGAAACCACCTTTCAAGGGGATCCGGTTGTCTGTTACGCAACCGAGCTTTCTACACGCGCTCGATAACCGGTACACCGCTTAACCCTTTTATTTTTATAGCTCAGAAAAAAATTTCTTTCCGTTTCTTTCGAATTTCTGTAATATTACGAACACAAGTGTTATTGCAAAGCCGATATGAGTTGCAGCTTCGAGTTTATAATACAGCTTTTAAACTAAGATTAGATTTTCTCTTGGCAATGTAAGTCTGAAAAAAAAAAAGAATTAGCATAGATATTTCATTTTCCTCGAAAGATTTGTTTCCAACCATTTCTGCAAAATTACGTGCGTATTTTATATAACAAATATAAAAAAAAAAAAGAGGGAGCAAAAATTGAAGCAAATTCTAAAAGTCGAAGGAAGGAAGGAAGAAGAAGAAGGATCCTCTTCGATTAGATCTCGCCTTGTAGAAAGTATTCGTATATAGAATTGTATTTATAGAAAGCAGATATTCGAAATAATTCCTTGGTGATTTAGATCTCGTTGGCGAGTCCAATCACGGCGCAGTTTATTGACAGGTTGTATGGCTTATTACGGTGATATGCCCGGTTAACTGTCGCACGATCAGAACCGGAACTCGCCAATTATAGAGGAAGATAAGCATTCTAAGAATCGTCGCTGACTTTTTCTCTGTGATTTCGCTTGCTTCGATTGTCTCGTGAGAAGGAAAATAGAATAGAATAATTTCTGAATTTGAATGCAAAACCGTGTTGACACAAGTGGACGAAGCGTAAACGCGTATCTTGTAGAAGGAATAATTTTATAAAGGTTGAGCTACATGTTTCATTTTATTTCAAAAAAAAATTGGTAGAAAAACCGGCCAGTAATAATTACAGTAGGTACAGTAGCACGGCAAGAAAATATCAAAAAGGAAACGTTGATCATAATATGAAAGCATTGAAAGTTATAAGATTTAATGTTAGGGAACGTTAAAGATATTGGAGAAAACGGATTAAAGCCAGTCAAGGGAATATAAATATATTTTTAACCTGTGATTGCATTCCTGTATGAGAATATTAATTATTAGTTATAAACGCGTGCACGATAAATGTAGATACAATTATTTTTATCAATGTGTTTCGGATACGAGCGTTTTATTGCTTTATTATTTAGGAAAAAATATTTTTAATGCTGTAATAAAAAATATTATTGGAAAAGTAGACGATGTATAAATAAATGGATCCGTTATTGAACGATACGTATCCTGGAATCAATATAACAATATGCACGCATATGCGTGACTTTAGAAAATTAGACGAGGCTTAAAAATAAAATGAAGAATATATTGCGAAAGATGTTTTTTCTACTCGTCGACAAATAGCGAAGTTACATTGAAATTATGTAAAATTGTTGGACAAAGTTGAGATATGACATTTATTTCTATAATTCTTCGAATAATGTAAATTTATTTTTAAAAAAGAAAATAATAAAAGTAAAAAAAGGAATACCGTGCGTAAAGATTGGTCAATCGCTAAATAACGCAAACCGTGCGTTGGAAACAAGTATTTATATTTGCAAACACCACGGAAGAGAAAGGCGGTGTATTGGCAGAAAAATTTTCTCACTTGAGATTTTCAAATGTCGGCATTCCCTCCGCTATTGAGTTTCTCCTTGAATATACGAGAAGTGAATCCTTGACGCGAACCCGTGACAGCGAACTGCATTTTCCGCAGTCAATAAAGCAGTTGAAATGGTATTCGATCGAGTTGAACATTCACTACTTAGTACCCAATATCGTCACTTAAAAACGTCACTTGTGTCGATAGTGTTGTTAATAATTTGTAATGAGATATGAAGATTAATAATTAATCGTGTTGACAATATCGTATATATAATAATTGTTAATGAAACAATTATATTAATTGTTTGTTAAACAATTTCCAAATTAAATTGCTCGAACCAAATTAAATATCGTATTGTCATATTTTTTTAAAGATATAATGCTTAATATACAGAATATTTATTATTATTTAAGTTGAAATATTTAAAAATTCAAAAAATCTTAAGATACTTTAAATTTTGTGCGACAGTGACGGAAGAACGATCTTAGCCAATAGGAAATTACGCGCCAAATTTAGTGAGCATTTATAATTCCATGTAGCACATGAATAATTATATTGTAATTTTAATTCAAATATTGCACAATGAACATTACTAATTCTTAATCATTCGTTACTGAGTCGGTAACATTGGAAACTAGAATTAAAGAAGTTTAGAGGCCCCTGAAATATGCAGCAAAAGTGCATCAAACGATAGATTTATTTTACACTTAATTTGAGATACGAGGCAAACGAACAAACACTATTCTATAACATTAGTGTGACAAGAGCTGAAGTTTACCATTGTTTTTACTAACTAAATTTAATTTTTTCTAGTAATCTTTTACTCATCCCAAGCGGAAATTTCAAATATATACACACGGCAAGTATTTATATCCCTTTTTGAAAAACTTGAAACAGGTCAGGATGGCCGAGCGGTCTAAGGCGCTGCGTTCAGGTCGCAGTCCACTCTGTGGGCGTGGGTTCGAATCCCACTCCTGACAAATTTTTTTTCACCTCAAAAAAAAAAAAAGGAAGAGAATAAATAAAAATAACGCGATAAAGTTCCCTTCGTTTTATATCGTATTCAAAATACGGTAAATTAAAATAAATTACTATATTAAATATTCAAAACCAATCCAAGAATTTCCAATACTTCGTACTCGATAAAACAACGAAAGAGAGACGATTCTCCGTCTTGGAATGCAGAAGATTGCTGATCTTTAATACAAATACTAATATTACCGCGTTCATAAAGTTAAATTACAGTATTTAGAATCGCACGCATTCGCGATTTTGAATATGCACGATGGATAGTGGACAGAAGATAACTGTTTCGAGGCATGATATAACAGTTAAAACAAGTCGAAATGAAGAGAAAAAAAAAAAAAAAAAATACCGAGACTTGACCCTCGCGAGAGAAGTATTCCGCCGGTTGATCGATGATGTTTAAAGCTTGAATCGTGATCGCGAATTTGTAGGATCGTCCCGACACAACGAACGTGCTCGCGAATTCTTAACGTGCGACTTACGTTACATGGCCGAGAAACGAAAAGAAACACTGGTAAACTTTACAAATATATCTCACCAGTACAAGAATGCCATTAAAGGGGACAAAGATCAAAAAAACAAGTGTCGACGAAGATTGATTAAGAAACTCGATGATTTCCACACGAAGCATTATTTCATTTCGAGTAAGAAATCACGGTGGTTCGTACAATTTCACTTATTCAATAAAGACGATTGATGAAATCTTAAGTATATATAGTCAATTGCAATCAAATTTCTTTGTAATAACAAACTAAGGTTACTTCAATAGCGTATTCATATCGTACCAATTTATCATTTCATAAAATCTCCTCATTTGCGTGCCACGAATTATGATGTACCTAATACACATAATAGCTCGGGGATCCTATATTGTACACCTTATGGAAAGTCGTTACATCACGGACCGTATAAACAGTGAATTTATCGTTAACGACGCTGCAAGCTACGATATTAAGATTGGCGCGCTATACTTCGATGCACGGATTGTTTACACGCTGCAGGCGCATAGCTCTGCAGAATTCGCACCATCTGGCGCAAAAGTAGCGGTGCCTCTATGCAGTAGATTCCCTCCCGCGATCACGAGGACCTACTTTCCAGATGTCGCAAAGATGTCCGGCAAATAATATCTTCTTGCGCGATTTAAATTCTTTGAAAATTATTAAAAATTTCTCTCTTTCTCTCTCTCTCTCTC